GGGACATAACATTCAAAAGGAAACCAAGTACCAAACTGAGCTGGATAACTCTAGAAGGAACACAGCAGTAGTACTAAAGTCTGCACCCACCCAATCCACTACACTTTACTGATTTGCATAGTGAAAAGATTTTTTTTACATAGTTGTCGATTTATTTTAAGTTTAAAGGAGAACTATGAGATGAGTGATTTCCACTCACCTCATAGTTCTAGCAGACCTGTGACAATGAGACTGTCACAGGTCGGCTCAGTAGATCGGGAGCTGAGCGAACACATACCGGGTTCGCTCACCTCTCGATCCTGTCACGGACAGTGGCAAATCCCATGTTGACTTCCCTAACTCACTATTGCCCCATAGCTGTGCTGGGAAACCTGATGGAAGATCTGGGTGGTCCAGGAGGTGGTTTGGGGTGGGGGGAAGTTTCAAGCACAGCTTCTGGATTTGAGGTTAAGTGCATAACTTGGGGCGCACCAGGTTTCAGGGCTCCCACTGATTGTATGTGCAAGGAGATACAGCATGCCTTCTCTTCAGTCTTGCATCTACTGCACGCCACTCTGCTCTATCAAGCTGCAGAACTCTTACAATTTAAATTCTTAAAGAGAACCTGTCAGGATAGAAATATAAAAATTGTCACTGACTTATAACTGAATGTGCACATTGTGGGACTGTCATCCTCATCTTTTTTTTTTAGAAGGTTGCTAAAGCAGAACAAGCATGGACTAATGAAGTGTCTGGATTCCTGATTTGCACGTTTGTTTTAGGTCGCTGACTCACAAACTCATGAAGGATAATGACGACAGCCCACTTGAACAATTCAACAGACTGGGGGATGCAGATAAGAATAAAGAGGGCCAAATATGACACATAGAAAACAGAGTGTAAGCTCTATTGAATTAACACACATTAAACAACATGCACATTATTATTAAAACATTTGCATTGTTTGATATAATTGTATTGTAACCTGCATGGTTAGTAATGGATTGTTAGGGTTAAATGTATGGGTGAAATACAGAGGCATGCTTTTGAAGATAATGATCCTTCAGTTAATATATGAAGAAGTTAATTTCTGATGAGAGCGTCTCTTTAAGGACCTGGCTGGAAATATTAGAAGCCAAAGTCGCTGAGATATTGAAGCTCTCAGTTCTCAGAATGTAATTCACGAGACGCCCTCTTAAACATAAAAAGGCCGCTGTGCCCCTGCTGATTCACACAAGAGGTGGACAGATTAGAATGGTGTGAAATTGGCCTCGGCGTCAGGCGCCTCTCGTATAATGCAGACTTCTGGAACGGCAGCGATAAGTAACCCTGAGAATCCATCAGTTCTGCACACAGCAGCAAAGACTGCTGGCTCTGTAACAAGGAATGCCGCCTAACTAAACCAGCTTACTTATATATATTCCCTACACAAAGAATTTACTCCAGACTACAAAAGACGTAGTGTAGCTGTAGACCAAAACTACAATGCATTTGTTTTATAGCTTCAAATCCACATATGACTGTTCAAATAAAGCATTATGCCACTTGTAAGTTTTACCAAATACCCCAATTTTCCTTTCCTGCTTTAATTTATGCAGATTTATTTTGCTCGGTTTTATTTGTGCACATTTACTAGCTGTGTGTCGTGTCCCAGGGCAATGAATGTACCGTTTTGCCCGAACGTTAAAGGAGAACTATGGGGTCAGTGTTTTTCCCCAAAGTTCTCCTTAGGGTAAAGGGAGGACACAAACTAGCGTCCTCCCATTACACTAAGCTCAGTATACCGCGAGCTACAGGCCGCGGTATACTGAGGCGCCACAGCCGAAGCGGATCCCGACTTAGACAACGGGATCCGCCCAGCTGCGTGAGTGACAGCTGGCTCTGCCTATCTAGAGGCAGAGCCAGCTGTACCCGCCCCCTCCCCCGTCCGTTCCGCCAGTCAGCGCTTTGAGGATCTGAGCAGGGAGGGGGGAATCCAGCCACTCCCCTGTCACGGCAGAGAGCTGTGACAGGATCGAGAAGTGAGCGAACGCCGGTATGTGTTCGCTCACCTCCCGATCTACTGAGCCGACCTGTGACCGTCTCATTGTCACAGGTCGGCTAGAACTATGAGGTGAGTGAAAAGCACTCACCTCATAGTTCTCCTTTAAAGTGTCTGTCCATCAGCAACTGATAAATCAGCTGTGCTGAGTTGCACAGAAAAAAATCAACCATTGGCTTCTTGTTCCTCAGAGCCTTGGTTCTCAACTGGTGGGTCTTGACCCAGAAGTGGGTCGCGACCCCGTGTTCAGTGGGTCACCACATGCCTTGCACTTTTCTAGGTGAGAGGCTCCCCAGCCTTCCCCTGGCGCAGCACTGTCAGTTCTCACACCGAGCAGCCATTCAAAATATGCTGCCCAGTGCCGAGTGTCAACTTGAGGTGGGGTTGGCTGGGGGTATGGCAAAACAAACGACAAACGCACTCAACAATTTGTTACCAGTTATACAGTAAGGTGCACACGAAATGGGCTTTGAACAGTGGTACAGTAGAAAGGCATCATGGCACACTCACAAACCAGCATGTAAAACAACTTGTCTCACCACTAAGGACAATGACAGAGGTTTGGATACACGTCTTCTGCAAAGGATGTGTAAGCCGCACTGCCGCGCCAAGGAACCTCTTATAGTGCGGTCCTAACTCTAAACTATGAGAGTCTCCATAGTCTCCTTGGAGCACATGGGGGCAGAAGATATCAAATTGGGTGTTTTACATGCTGGTTTGTGAGTGTGCCATGATGCCTTTCTACTGTACCACTGTTCAAAGCCCATTTCGTGTGCACCTTACTGTATAACTGGTAACAAATTGTTGAGTGCGTTTGTCGTTTGTTTTGCTTTACCGATTTGGTGCAGCGACGCATGGGGTTTCTCAGCTGCCAATGGGATGTGCGGGATCCCTTGTGTGTCTCTGTACCTTTAAGGAGGTGGGGCGTCCTCCTGACAGGCCTGCACCCAATTTGATATCTTCTGCCCCCATGTGCTCCAAGATGGAGACTCTCATAGTTTAGAGTTAGGACCGCACTATAAGAGGTGCCTTGGCGCGGCAGTGCGGCTTACACATCCTTTGCAGAAGACGTGTATCCAAACCTCTGTCATTGTCCTTAGTGGTGAGACAAGTTGTTTTACATGCTGGTTTGTGAGTGTGCCATGATGCCTTTCTACTGTGGCTGGGGGTATGGCCACGAGGGAGCTCCATCCATACGTGCATTGCTTACAGCTCCCTTATGTGTCCTGTAGAGGTGCCTGGACCAGAGTGACGTCACATTCTGGCTCCCGGCACCTCTACAGGCGCACATGGGAGCTGTGCAAGCAATGCACATATGGATGGATCACAGCACAGCACACTGGACCCCAGGTTAAGGATCTTCTCCAGTTCTCGTAAGGTAAGGAGACTGGGTGACTGGGAGACTGGGTGGATCTTAAAAAAAAGAAAAAAATTTCCAATCGCCTGCACTGGAATGCGCAGTACTGCAATGTTGTGCGTTCCATTGCAGTAAGACTTGGGTCGCGACCTAATGACCAAGGACAAATGTGGGTCCTGAGGTTACACAGGTTGAGAACCACTGCCTTAGAGGGACTCCAACAGTGATATATCTTCACTAAAGCTGGGAGGTCTGTTGGCTCCATCACAAAGACTTATATGGAACCCTTTAAATGTTTTTTAAACATTTGTTTTCACAAAAGCTTCACATGCTTTTCACGGTCAACACCAGGGGCTCAACTTTACTGTATGCCATCACAGCTTGCATGCGGGTGGGTAAAACCTCAGAAGCAGACTGTATGCATTTGAGGATTTAGTCCATGCCCATGTACAGCTTTACATAGTGCCCGTGTACAGCCATTGAATTTTATGTGAAGCTTTGCACTGCACCTGGAGCTCCCTGGTGGGGGAATACAGCAGTATTTACAGCGTATGGGGTTGGGGCATCCATGTGCAATGGCCCAAGGGTGACTGGGAATTGTAGTCAAACTTTATCAACCGAGGGGCCCGTGTCAAGAAGTCTAAAATGTATAGTGAATAAAGGTAAATGCAAAGGCCTTACCTGAAATGCACCTGAAAAGCAGGGCACACAGGGGAGACCCACCTCACAGTCTAAGAAACAGTGCTATATCGCTAATGAGAAAACAGATAAATCCATTGTTGAAATACACATACAGGGGCTGTTTTACCTGCCAATGGATTTCTATTTCTGTCCATACAGTCCTGACGTTTAAGCAACCCTGACAGACAGCATAGCCAGGCTAGTGACCAGACTTTTTTCTGCTGAAGTTAAGCAATACAGTCTAGTTACCTCTCTGCCCCAAGCCTGTGATTGGGCAATAAATGAGCAGCAGAAGACTGATAACCTTAGCAGAATGCTCTCTACTCCTATCAGTATGCTAGTATATGTGCAAGCAACCCAGTTCATTGGCTGCTAGTGCAGCCCCTACCTCTCCCAGTCTGAGGTCTACTGTACAGGATATTACAAGAGGGTAAACTGAGACAGTCAGCAGTCAGGTACTTACACCAGCTTGATTAGAAAAATAAATGCAATTCCTCTGAATAAAAAACTGCCTTTACTGATGTTGTTTTTACTTCTCCCATAAATGTCATGGTAGTCAATAGGCTGATGTTAATATATATGCAAAATATTCTCCATGCTTTACCCAGATTTTCCCGCTCTCACTACTCAGGCATTTTGCTCTAATGTTCAGGACCACATCAGGCAAACTTCAGGATATTGACAGCGTCCCAGGTGAAAGAGATAAGAGCCTTCTAACACAAAGAGGCTTTTATTCCTGCTGTGTAACACACATATTTATGACATCATCCGGGGTGAGGTTAACAGGTCAACCAGTTCAATGTGGCATTAAAGAAGTCGGTGTTTTTTCCCAACAACATCATGGAAATGAATGACAGAGTGATGTTTGAGCACAAGGAATAGCAATGCTGACAAGATGTGAATGAGCTTATACAGACAGAAGAAAAAAAAAAAGCCTGATACCTGCAAGAGGTGTCTTGAAAGGAGATGTTTAAGTCCCAGTGCGCCCGTATCCTGTTGATAAATAAACAGAGCAATCAATTCACACAGCCCATAGCACATAACTCACCGAGACCAGAATAACACTGGCTGAGACAGCAAGCTTTATCAAAATCTGCCCCCACAGCTCTTTCCTAGACCCACAGAAGCCTTGTATACACAGGGCCAGAGATAGGTATATTCTCTCTCATCGCTGGTGCATTTTATATAAAACTTGCATACCTATTGCTGTTTTTCTTCAAACATGGGAACACATGAACAGAGAAGAACCAATGGATAATATGCACATCAGAATGCTAGCATCAGGCAGGCAGGTTTAAAATAGGAACATTCACATCTCAACATCTAAATTTGGGCAAAAGCAACCTTTTATTATATACACGATATGGCCAAATGTTTGTGGACACCTGACCAGAAACACCCACCTACAGTATATAGTCACAAGTATATGGACACACCTCCAAATTAATAAGGTCAGGTAATGTCAGTGATGGTTACTGTTAATGCTTCAACATACAAAGTTATTTTAGACAATTGTGCTCTTCCAACCTTGTGCCAACAGTCTGGGAAATTCCCTTTTCTCTTCCAGCACTACTGTGCTCCTGTGCACAACGCCGGATCCTTATAGAGATAGCTAGATAGAGAGGAATTTATCAAAATCTGGAGCAGTTGCCCAGGGTAACCAATCAGCTTCTATCTTCAGTTTGTTCAGTTAAGATTTGAAAATGAAAGAGAAAAGCTGATTGGTTGCCATGCACAGCTGCTCCAGGTTTTGTCTGCTCCAGTTTTGATAAATTCCCCTCCTAGTATTTCAGGATGCAATGTCTTTACATGGTTTGACAAATCTGGTGTGCAAGTACTTAGGTGTCCTGTACAGAGCCATGGCCTCATCTCTAATGAACACCTTTGGGATGAATTGATATGCCAATTGTCAGCCAGTTGTTCACTTCTAACATTAGTACCGGACCTCACAAATGCTCTTTGGACTGAATTGGAACAAATTCACACAGACACGCTCCAAATGCTCATGGAAAGCCATCCCAGAAGTGGAAGCGATTATAGCTGCTCAGGGGGTGGCTGGGAAAACAACTCCATATTAATGGAGGTATGCTGTGCGAAGGGGAACATACAACAAACCTACAAAGGGAGCTTCTCAAATTTAACTGCTAAGGTGGAAATACGCTTTGAGATTAGAGATTCGAACAGCACTGGTCAGCACTGGCAGTTTACTGAATGATCAACTTAGTACAGAAAAACCATACACACCAGACCTTCCCTATTAACAGCTGAAAGTCTAATGCCCCTCCCAAACTCATACATGCTCTAGGACCAATATGGGGCAGAAACTGGGTGATTTGGGGGTTCTAGAAGCTAACTAATGGTAACAAGTAGAGAGCAGACAATCTTCTTGCAAAGTTGCAAAGGTTCATTTGTTTACATTTTGTTACTTAACCTGCACATTTTCCAAAGGTTGGCAGAGGAAAAGGTCAAAGCAATACTTTTGGATTCTAAGATCACTCTGGTGGGGTTATATTGTAACACTTTTGTCACAGAATAATGCACACAAACTACAGTGTTTAGAATACAAATATATGGTTTAATAATTATGTTGTAAATGTATTATTATTACTTTATATGTCCCTACCGGTGGTGTTAAAGTGACTTTATTCTCTTCAGGTAAGAGCTATCTGTCTTGGTAATGCTCCAAGAAAGTGCCCAAGTGTCCGCAATACTACAAAGCAACATTAAAGGAACTTCAGCTCATTTCAATGCCCTCCTGGCTTTTGTATGAGTCTCTGCCTGGCTTACAGGCCTTTCTTTCTGGAACCAGCCAAGCATGACCAGCGCTGAAAAGAAAACTCCAGACCTCTGTGATACCTTAATGAGAAGCTGCCAGACAGTGAGCAGGGACAGGGAAGAGCGTGGGATTAAAGCAAAGGGTTTAAGGCACCAAAAATGGATTACAACTGAAAGGAAAAAAAAGCACAGAAGAATATTTTCAACATATAATCAGCTGCAAACACCCACAACCGCATACATATGTGCTCAAAAACAATTCCCAGTTTGAACATTCCAGATGCCTCTGGTCAAAAAATGGATGGATTTTTAAAGGACCAGTCCACTCATTTTATTTATTGGTAGGGTTTGACAGGCTATCATCCACTGGGTTCCTTTATCTCTTGGAGATGCCAACAGCTAGAGGTCCCTGCCATAACGTCTGTGAACTGTAGCTGCCCTTCTTGGAGATGTGGGTATAACTGCCCCCATTTTAAAGTTCCCACGCAAGTTGTTATTCTTTACAATAAAATAATAAATTTAAAATGCAACAAAAGGGGCATAGAAACTCTTGTGCAGATCTCACCACCAGAGAACCTGAGAGATACAAGAAACTGTAAGGGGACTGCATTCCCAAGTGTCTATCAAACAATGATATATGCATTTTGGAGGGGACTGATCTTCTTAACTGTAGTGCAAACAAAAACTTTTATTTTTTGCCTACTTTACTCTCATTTGGTAACCACTGTGACTAGGACAAGGAGCCAGGAGAACTTCCCAACTGGAACACATTATTCCAACTTATTCCAATTCTACCAATAAATAAATAAAAAGGTTCACTTGGACTTATGCCTTTTCCAGTACAGTTAACAGCTGGGCCTTTTTTATGCAGAAGACTTCCAGTATGCTTTTGGATAATGAGAAGAAAAAAAAACTAAAAACTGGAAGAGACGAACATATACAGTGTCTCTGATGGGAATGAATAGCAGGCCCCACAACTACAAGACAAGATTGCAAACTGATAAATGATTGTATTAGATGCTTTAACGTTGAACACATCCAGAATACGTAAGCACTGTCTAAGTTGTGCTCAGTAGTCAGTAAAGTATGAGTGCCCTCAGTTGCACTCACCATAGATACCAATCATTTATATGGGGGACAAAATGCAAAGCATGTGCAGAAACGAGCAAACTCAGATGGAGGCAGGTGGACCAATACAGCTTCATGAGCACTCTGGTTCTGCACTGCAATACCAGCAGATGTAGGGTTCTTTTTTATCATAACCTGAGATAGACAGGCAGTTAGAGATTAATGGTAATGTGGCTCCAGGTGGGTATACGGCATAATAAACCCCCGGGGGGAAAGATGAGGTTGATGCGATGAGAATAAAATTGCATTGCAGCAGGCTCCGTCAGTTCCCATCTATCAATTTCCTCACATTGGGAAGCAGCACGGAGCTGCGGGCCCACACGCTATATATAGAGATCTTCGCTGCTACATTTTGTACTTGTTCCATTTGTAGGCGAAAGGAAAGCGCTGCTTTTTTGTACAAAGCAAGGAAACTTGCTTAGCATTCTAATAGCAGATTTACTAATAACGCCATACACAACATTTCTCGACCATGGTAGGAAACCTGGGCACTGCAGCAAATGCCATGCAGATAGTGTGCCTACAAGGAAACAAACCTAAGATCGCAACAATGCAACCCAAAACTACCAGTAACTAAGCCCCTATGCTGTGCACATTCAATCTACACATAGTAATGCTCATCATAAAAGTGGTGATTTTAAAAGCTTTCCAGCCTTTGTTTAAAAAAAAAAAAAAAAAATGACAGTATGGAATGGATGGTCCTCATCAATCTGCCATCCACGGTTTTAAATGTTTCCTGGTTTTGTGTGTCCAAACGATTAGGTGGAAATCAATTGCAAATGCCTTTTGACTTGAAGTACAGTGGTTTCAATCAATTTTTCAATGCAATATAGAACGTCTGGTTGCTCAAAACTGGGAAATGATCGACACAGTGGCTGGCAGATTTCCATGAACCTTTTAATTTCCTTTGATTCAACTGAAAGCCGATGAACAGCTTCCAAAATTGCCAAATGTATGGCCAGCATTAGCATCCAATAACATCACTAAGTCACATTTTCAACACCTCAGTAATGTAGAAGATTTAAGTCTGATGACTCTCCTGCACATTTTAGGATTTACATAAACTATTTACACAGTTTTATGACTACCAAATAAACCTAGTGGTTAAATTACTAGTTAAAGAGGACATACAATATAGTCAAATGTTAGGCTAAGTGTATATTAACTGGGCAGCTGGGACAAATAAATACAGAGCAATAGAAGGGCTGCAAAGCTTAGCTATACTGAAGAGAAGGCTCTAGGCTCCCACAGCAGCCGCTACCTGATCACTGTCATGTTGGCATTTGGTCACGTGATTTCAGCAAAGAGCTTGGGAGATGATGATGATTGGCTGTCAACCCTCTAATTTCCACCTGCAAAGTATGTTGGGTCCAGAATTTGGTCATGTGACCATCTGTAGTAGAAGCACAGAGCAGCAAGCTAGGTAAGTATTTGAAATCTTCTATTACTTTGTTTTTCCCAGGTCTAAACTCCAACTTTATACATACACAAAGTAACCGTTTCATAGAGTGACTGGTAACTTAAGATCTATGCCCTGAGATATAGATGTGATGTGATGTGATATAGATTGCATTGTTGCTGACAGTAGTATGTCAATCACAATATCGTTTTGCATTATAATCTTAGGGTTAGACTTGGTTCACTTTAAGGGTTAAGTTTAGGGTGTACTGAAACATACCTATGGTAAAATAAGGACTGATAAACTAACAGTTATAACCGACAGTACAGTCCCCTTCCTTTACGGTGATAACCCCCTCCATCATCACCCCATATTCCCATCTCAAGTTCCCCCACACTTCATAGTGGAGAATGTGCACACTCTCCCTGCCCCAATCCCACAATGCCAACCTCAGGGCCTGAGCGACCTACTGCAGCTTGGGCAAGGCCAAGAATATTGGTTATATGGATTTAAATGGCTCAGCAATGTGTGTTCCCAAGGCTATAGATTGTCAACAAGACCACTATAACCAGACAGTTGCCCCAGATCACTACAGCAATACCTGGATGTAAAAGAGATGCATTAAGTATGTAGCTTCTAGACATGTGCAGTGCCAAAAAATTCGTTTAGTTTCGTTTCAAATTCAGATTTG